GATGGCTGATGGTTTTGACATTTGGCTACAGGTCTATAACGTTTTCAGTATTCAATTTAAGCCATATACAGACACCTATTCACCCATAACTATTCCAGAAGTGACAGGCAGCTATTTAGATCTTGTGGACAAGGGTGTTTGATGCTTGGCATAGGAGGTTATACTCCATACATTGCTGAGAGTAAGGGAAGGAAGGCGTAAGAAATACACCGCCCTCCTTACACACAGAGATACAGGGATCGCCTCTAATTCCACTACATCCGAACTCTTATCAGCCCCATAGCCACTTGGAAGAGAACTAAACAGGCAGCAGAGAGATCCCCTGGAAAGCAAATAAAACTAAGGCGATAGCCAACTACCGAACAACAGTAGCGGCTCTGCCGAGACAGGCACTTTGGCCCGCTTGGCCCCGGAGCAGCACGTCGTGCCAGAGGAAAGAAGGATGCAGCCGGAGCCAGGAGGGCACCACAGTGATGTGAGCGAGGCTTGGGGAGGGGGAAGGTGCAGTCCCAGCTGCCAGGAGCGGGTGCTGGGTCTCAGCCTGACTGCTTCATTGGGACCGCATCCAGGCAGCTGTAGAGCATGCACGAGCTCCCTCCAACCCTCTACAGCAGATTCTCGAGCCCGGCTGCAGATCCGCATCCTCGGTGCTTTACATCAGCGCATGCCACGGAGCCTTGGCTTCCTTCCCGCCTCTCCCCCATCCCTGGATGGTCTGATCAGATTCTCCCTCTACTTTCTGCAAGACTTTGCAAAGGCATCGCATGCGGGCTTCTGCCACCATAGGCATCTGAGCAAACCGCTCCATTCAATCCACTCCGAGCACGGGTGGTTCAGAGCCAATGGGGCAGCCCCTGGCGGGAGAGCGGCTGCAGAAAAGACTTTCTGTGTGTTCTCTGCCACTGCCCCCTACGAGCCCGAAGCTCAGCATTGCGGATCGCCACTGGGGAGCGGCTGCCAAGGCAGCTCCCGGTACGGTACGCGCGGGCTAACGCGGCCCTCTCCTTACCGTTAGATCTTCGCACAATGTTCTCCAGGAAGGTGTTCTGTGGCGCCACCAGCCCCCTCCTGCCCCCGGCCATAGTCATGTCTCCTGTTGTCCAGCGCGGAGGCTTTGATTAGAGCTGCGCGCAGCTAAGTGCTCGGGCTCCACTCTCTGCCCGCTCTGAGCACCTCATGTTCTCCGCGGGGACCTCGCCGGCTTTGCAGCAGCAGCAGCTTCTATCGACAGCCACCCACCTCCCACCGCATCCCTGCGGCTGCCGCCACCGCTTCGGCCGCCACCACGACCAGTCCGGCAGCGCCCTCTGCCGAGCTCAATCTCCGCAGCGCCCATCCAATGCTCAGCTGAGCTAGCGCCAGGGAGCTGGAGGAGACAGGCAACGCCTGTGCTGCATCACCCTCAGCGGGGCCCAACAACACGGCGCTCTCAGAGGCCAGCCTGGCATGCAGAGCCAACACCAATGGAAGGGAAGTCCTAACAGTAGCTACTAGCGTGGCCCTTTAACCTGTACAGCTGTGGTCAGCGCCAAGTTCCAAGCACACCTGGTTCACTCCACAGTTTAGGGTAAAATGATGGGAAACGCAGAGTCTCCCAAGACTTAAATTCCAAACACATCGATTTCAGCTGAATTTGCTTTGAAGTGTAGAGATGCCTAAGGCATGACTCTAGCCAGCCACGATAGAGGCTCAGAAGAAAAATAGTAATGAAGTGCAAAGTATATGAAAGTGCTTTAGGAACATTGAGCCCCACAACACTCATCTGATGGAATTAAGAGTTAGTGCCTCCTTTTACAAATGGAGAAACTAGGATCTAGACGTTAAGGGCTCTGATTCTTGGGTGAGTGATTTCCAGAATAGTAGTCACAAAGCCAGATGATCCCCAGCTGAACTCAACAAAGGTACCTCCATTTACAGTAGCTGAGGCTCTGCCTCCTATTTAGTAATAATTCTGGGTTTTCTTTACTAAAATGTTAAAAGGTTGATTTATATTATCTGGTTAAATATCCGCTCAGTTAAAATGCAGAGATATATTTGAATAGTGTAAGCTTTGACAGCGACATAAAGAATCCCTAAAGACATTTTAACCAGCAGAATATTTCCCCCAGTTTCCCTCCATTCTCTTATCCTAGTTATCTCTGGCTGCTGGTGTACATTTTTTAACCCCCCTCCCCACATCTTCCTGAACCACACCACAAACGGCTGGCTACAGCTCAGGTTCAGGGCATTAATTAGTTCATTTTGCAAGTTAGAATTCCCTTGCCTCCAAGGAACTGATTTTCCAAAGCCTTATATTGACTCATTACCATGCAGATAGGGATGTTAAATATCGGTTATTTGAATAGTCAGGTAACCTCATGAATTCTTATCAGTCAATCGACTATTCTATAGTCCGGGGGGGGGGGGGGGATAGGGCCAGCAGCCAGTGCACTCTGGCCTTACTCCTGAGGAGCCCTCTGTCACTCCGCACTGCTGCCTCTGATACAGAGTCAACAGCATGAGGTGCCAGGAAGGAGCTGGTCCACAAGGGGAGCCAGTTTAAAAACCAGCTCCCCTGGCAGACTGTTGCCCAGTGCTGCTGCCTCTGATAAAGAAGCAGCAGCACAGGGTGGCGGCAGCTCCTGCCTAGGGGACATCTAAGCTCCGGGCCCAGAGTGAGCCAGAAGTGAGTTTGGCTACCTGCCCGCCCATGTGGCTCCAAATACACTTCAAATGTAGAACCATAGCGAGGGCAAGTCCTGGATCCAGTGTGAGCCAGGACTGAGCTGAGCTGCCTGCCTGCCCAGCTCCTAATACACTTTAAATACAGAGTCGCAGCAGGATATGTCCCAGACCAGTCAGAAGCCAGGAGTGAGCCAGGCTGCTGTCCAGCCTACTAAAAAATTTACGAGTGGGGTGGGGGACAGGGAGGGAAATGCATGTAGTCTAAAGCATTAACCTATTAGCTTTTGCTTATCAGTTAATTGGTTAATTGACTACACTATTACATTCCTACATCAAGAGTCTTCCCCTATCTGTTTGGAGGGCTGCCACTGTCAGTCAAAATCAGACTGGCTTTACATGTTCCACAAAATAGGAATATTCACCTAGTTTTACTAGGCTATCATTTTCCCATGTTTGGCTTGAAAGAAAGTTACAGATAATTTCCTAAACCCTCTCCTCCCTCTCCCTCCCCTCCCCTGCCCAAAAAAAACCCCCATAAGGGTTTGAGCAATATCTAGAGCTCACTTCATTTAAAGTGAGTGAGATGACTCTGCAGTATTATACACAATATGAAGTAGATCTTTGTGTAACATATACACGATGCAACAAAGTTTGCCTTTCCCTGTCAAACCTCCCAGGGGAAGTCAACCACAGAACGACTGAGAATTTTTATATTGGAGCTTTTCTAGGATGCTAAAACACAAGACAGTGGGTTGCAACTTGACCCAGCTAATACAACTGTAGGCTCAAGCATTGACAGTCTCACACATTTATCAATATGAGACTAGATATAAACATGCATTTCTAGAACAAATGTTTGTAGGGTTCAGCTCCCTTTGGGCAGGGGGCTGGACTTTGGGCTGGGGGCTGGACTGGATGACCTGAGGTCTCTTCCAGCCCTAGGATTCTATAATAGATAGAGGCCTCCTGATGCCACCTTGTGGTAGGAACATGACCCTGCAGGATCTGCCAATTACTTTACAAAGATTACAACAAAAGCTGCTCCTGGTGAGGGCTCTTTTACCTTAAAGGCACCCTACAATAGCTTTAAAGAAGAGTCCAGGCATCACACCTTGAGGGTTCTCACATTATTCCTATTGTTTTCTGCCTACCAAGACCTTTCTCCTATCTCATGCAGCTTACCCTTCTGCATATAGAACAGGTGCATTCCTCAGATGAAGAATAAGAAGGCTACATCAATACTGTACTCTTCTTGCACAAAAGCCTATGCAAATGAAGTGTGGATTAGCATATTGCCATGCTTCATTTGCATAATTAATTATGGGCCGTTTTTGCGCAAGAGGCTTTTGCACAAAAAGGAGCTGTGTAGATGGTTCCTTTTTGCACAAAACCCCCCTCTTGTGCAAGAGCCATTCTTCCTGAAAAAATAAGAAAGAACAGCTCTTATGCAAGAGGGGGGTTTTGTGCAAAAAGGAACCATCTACACAGCTCCTTTTTGTGCAAAAGCCTCTTGCGCAAAAATGGCCCTGTGACGGGGCACCTCCTCCCCACACTGAAATCCGCCCCAAACTCCAAGCCAGGGAGCCCGGAGGAGTGCAGAGCGGGGATGGGGACCCACAGGAAAATCCCGGCTGGGAAGTGGCTGAGGAGAGCGCAGGCAGCAGAGTGGAGGACGCAAGCCACCCATCGCCATGGGCGCATGTGGATGATGTCACCCAGGACGTCATCCAGGAGAAGCTGGAGAGCAGGGGTGGTGACGCTGGGGGAGGGCCAGCCACGGACACCATGGTGGGAAGTTTAAAAGGGCGTGGGGAAGCCGGAGAGAGGGGGGAAGGTGAAGAGGTAGAGGGACCGGAAGGAAGCAGTGGCAAGAAAGAAGGAGAGACTAGCGCCCAAAACATGCCGCACAAGGACCCGGGAGAGAGAACCACAGCAGTGAGTTTCAACCCCATCCCCGCGGATCAGATTTAAGTATGGGACCGGGGAAGAAGTGGCCCAGGGCATGGTCGTGGGCCCCGTGAGTGGGAGAATTTAGGGGCTACAGCCCCCTCCACTGAGCAGGGACCGAGATCCCTGTCTTAGGGCCCTGGTTCAGAGAGAGGGAGGGCCCGGACCCCCTTCCCCAGTACTCGAAGTGTGGTCCCCATGCCGTGCGGTCTTACAACCATATTGTATGCCCCAACATAATGAGCAAACTGAGAGAACTGTGAAAACGGAGTGGCGAACGGTCGCTTAGAGAAACAGTTACAGCTCGGGGAAGTGGGGAGGACTTGAACCCCACAGGGGAACTTATAACAGGCCCCTAATTAATTATGCAAATGACGTGTGGCAATATGCTAATCTGCACTTCATTTGCATAGGCATTTGTGCAAGAAGAGATCAATATAGACGTAGCTGAAATGAAGAAATCTAAAGCAAGGTCTTTCCCCAAACTGGGAAGGAACCACAACCCACACATTTGGTATACATCCCCCCATAACTCCTCTTGGGAAAGCTAATCTGGGTTTTAGAGCTATTCTGTGGCTTGGGCAGAAGAGCAAGCTCCAGGGCAACCCACCTGAGTCTTTCCCTCCTCACATTCTGTCAGTAGCACTTCCCTGCTTCCCTTGCCAGTGAACTCTCAACCCTCATAGGAAACTTCCAGAAGCTTTCTCCTACTTCTTTCCTCCATAGGAGGAAAAATAAGAGCTCTCCCCAGCTACTGCTATCTGCACTTCTCTCATATAGCTCAATCACCCTCTCTAATCCAGGAAAGGCCTGCTAAAAATATCTTTACCCCACTCCTTCCTCTTATTAGCCTCAACTCCTCTTTTTCAGACTCCTAATGCCTCTCCATCTGGGACTAATAGCTTCTTCAGTTGGTAAGGAGGAACCAAGCAAACCAAAGTCCTTGCTGGGAGGCAGCTAATTAATCATAGGGAATTGGGTCCTTTTTCCCTTTTAAAGGGGCCAGACCTCTTATTACAAGCATCTTTATTAGAATATAAAATTGTGTTAAATAGCCTAAGCTAATTGACAATCAAATTAAAGACATAATAATTTTAAAAGTCACTTTAATTGATCCAAGCAGAACAGGGTGGACATATGCAAGAGATGTTGTTAAACCAGCTTGCTCACCTTTTAGAAAAGATCATCTCTCCCCACATGGGTATGTCTGTACTTCATAATAAACCCAGGCTCAGACCAAACTAGTGTGACTCATCCTGTTGGGGTCTGAATCCATGACCAAGTCCTACTGTGAGTTGGGCCCAAGCTCAGGAATTTTACAGTGTGGATGTCATTCTAGCCTAGGTCACCAGATTCATGTCTGGTTAATCAACCAAAACTATCCCACAATCTTCTGGGCTGAGTTTTCCAGCCCTTACATCCCAAAATTTCCCCCTCAATTTCTAGGAAATGGAACCAACCTCCTGGTTCAAATAAAGTTGCTCAGTATTTAACCCTTCACTTCTACATGGAGTGCTCAATTGGAAATCCAGTTAACCCTCAGATACATTGTCTATGGCCAGCACTAAGAAGAAGTCCTGCATCAAGCAGGTTGCTAGTTAGTCAGAGGTAC